ATCACCTTTTGCAACCTTCTGACAAGCAAAGCCAGATTCACTTAACAATTGTGTTACTAACTTAACAACTGCAGTGATTCACTTAACAACTATGGCACGATAGGTGGTAAAATGGGGCAAAACTCACTTAACTCACTTAGCAACAGAAATGTGGGGCTCAACTGTGGTCGTAAGTCGAGGAATACCTGCACTCGGAGATGAACCAAGAATCGAAAGTGCCAAAATATAGCCCCAAAATTGGATTCAGCTTATCTGTGGATGAGCTTATCCACAGGTAGATAAGGTAACACTTCCCATATACAGGTAGTCCTTGACTTAACAACCATTTGTTTAGCGAGTCCCAAAGGTGCTTTTTCAGGAGGCAACTGGACTTTTTTGTTTTTCTTTGATGATGTTTCGCTTCAACTCTGACTAGATGATGGGGAGTGGAAGGATTTATACTGTTTGCAAACAGGTGGTCATTTGCATTCTTTTAGAGAATTGTTGGGGCCATCAGGAGGTTTACCTGTGTCCTCAGGGTCACCTGAGTGGTGCAAATAGGTGTGAAGCCTTCTTGGCTGCAGGATGTTTTCTGCCCTGTGTCCCTTCACTGTTGAAGACAGGCACAGGCTGTTGGGGATGTATTGTCTGCATCTCAAACTGAAGCGCAAATGGTTCCTGTAGTCTGCAGTGTTTTCTGGAAATCCATTCATACTCCCTCACCATTTGAAGGGTGTTCATCCCAAAGTGCATAGCTAAATGTCAATGGAGACATTTAGACATCGACCCTCTAAAAGAATGCAAATGACCAGCTGTCTGCAAGCAATATAATCCTTCCACTCCCCACCATCTAGTCAGAGCTGAAGAAGCTTCTTGGATGAGAAGCGAAACATCATCAAAGAAAAACAAGAAAGTCCAGTTGCCTCCTGAAAAAGCACCTTTGGGACAATCATGACCTGGATGACCGAGAATCTCCATAGACATTTGTTTGGCGAGTGTTACAACGGCACTGAAAAAGTGACTTTCGACCTGTCTTCATATTTACTACCATTGCAGCATCCCTACGGTCACCTGATCAAAATAATAGGGCAGTTGGCATGTATTTACCAGGGTTGCAGCATCCTGGGGTCACCTGATTGCCCTTTACAACCTTCCCAGCTGGCTCCCAACAAGCAAAGTCAATGGAAGAAGCCGGATTCGCTTAATGACTGCATGATTCACTTACCGACTGCAGTGATTCACTTAAGAACTGTGGCAAAAAAGATCGTAAAATTGGGTGAGAGTTAAGCTAAGCCTTGCTTAGCAACAGAAATTCTGCTCCCAGTTGTGGTTGTAAGTCGAGGAGTACTTGTAATATAATAATAATAATAATAATAATAATAATAATAATAATAATAATAATAATAATAATAATAATAATAATAATAATAATAATAATAATGAGGAGGAGGAGGAGGAGGAGGAGGAGGAGGAGGAGGAGGAGAAGAAGAAGAAGAAGAAGAAGAAGAAGAAGAAGAAGAAGAAGAAGAAGAAGAAGAAGAAGAAGAAGAAGAAGAAGAAGAAGAAGAAGAAGAAGAAGAAGAAGAAGAAGAAGAAGAAGAAGAAGAAGAAGAAGAAGAAGAAGAAGAAGAAGGTTGGAAGGGATCTTGGAGGTCATCTAGTCCAACCCCCTGCTCAGTCAGGAAACCCTATACCATTTTGGACAAATGGCTGTCCAGTCTCTTCTTAAAAATTTCCAGTGTTGGAGCATTCACTGCTTCTGGAGGCAGGTTGTTCCACTGGTTAATTGTTCTAACTGTTAGGAAGTTTCTCCTTAGTTCTAGGGTGCTTCTCTTTTTGGTTAGTTTCCATCCGTTGCTTCTTGTCCTGCCTTCAGGCACTTTGAAGAATAGCTTGACTCCCTCTTCTTTGTGGCAGCCCCTGAGATATTGGAACACTGCTATCATGTCCCCCCTCGTCCTTCTCTTCATTAAACTAGACATACCCAATTCCAGCAACCGTTCCTTATATCCTATATGGAACTGTGCACATTTCCATCTGCAGATAAGCAGACCCTCAATTTTTTAACCAAAATAGCATGAAAGTTACAGGTCAGCTTATCCGCAGGTGGCACTTTTCATGGCATTTTGGTTCAAAATTCTCCATGGGTGGGCTTCTCTGCAAATCTATACAGATTATAATTTCCAGAGCAAAGACTGGGCAGACAGTAAATCTGCATCTAATATCAATCTCTGAGTTATTTGTAGTATACGGGTAAATCCTTGACTTACGACAACACTTGAGCCCCAAATTTTTGTTGGTGAGACGTTTGTTAAGTGAGTTTAGCCCCATTTTACAACCTTGCTTGCTACAGCTGTCCAGCGAATCTGCAGCTGTTAAGTTAGTAACACGGTTGTTAAGTGAATCTGGCTTCCTCATTGACTTTGCTTGTCAGAACGTCAGAAAAAGGGGATCACACATGATCCTGGGACACACTGCAACCGTCGTAGGTATGAGTCAATTGCCAAGCGTCTGAATTTTGAGGACGCTGCAATGCTCACAAGTGGGAAAAATGGTCATAGGCCACTTTTTTTCATCCCAATGTAAGTTTGAACAGTCGGTAAGTGAACTGTTGTAACTCGAGGACTACCTGTATAAGCAAAGACTGCAAAGACAAACAGTCATAGAAGGGTGTTGTAGCCTCAGCCTACAGGTCAGAGGAAAGGCAATGGAGGACTAAGATGCCTACAAATTATTTCCTTGATACTGCCTGGCTTCCTCTTTCATCTGACTTCATTTTTATTTTATATTCATTTCATCCTGACGTCTGCAGAGTGAACGTAGACGAACACTATATGGAGGCTCACACCACATATATATATTTCTCTTGGCAAGAACAAAAAACAAAACACCATACTTGAAATAGAGATTATGGCTTAATGTATGCAAATCAATGTAGCCCATCATCCTGGTTTATTGCCTGATAAACCCTGGTTTCTCCAAACAGTATAAAGCCATCATCTCCTCTGTGAAAAGAGGAGCTTTAATCAATTCTGCCAGGTTTTTTAAACCTGAAATTATTGCTTAAAATGACAGCTACATGAGGTGTATTTCTTTACTGTTTAATTTTCTTTTATGTTTTATTTTTCAGTTGACCAAATATTTATTAAAAAGGTGGGATAAAAATATAATAATATATTATAAAATCACGCTTATTATAATCAAGTTAGTCTCTGCCTGATTTATTCTGCTACTCAATAAGCCAAAAGCTTATTCTACTTCAGTGAAACTGGATAAAATTTGCTGAGGTCTACAGATCACTCAGCCCAGTACTGCTCCATTTTTAAATAGTAATTTGATTAAACATCACAATTAAAAAGATTAAAGCAAGTAATACAAACTAAAAAAAATAAAAGAAATAAAAAGAAAAAAGGCTCCATTGTCAAAGGAACAACTGTTTCCCTCCCTGCAGGAAGAACAATTGCTGCTACAGACGTTTGCCCGACTTGCTCTAATCAGCGTGAAGGCGGCTGCTTAAACAAGCAGCCATACAGTCTCATTTCTGCCTTTTTGATGGTCCAGGCATGGCCCTTTGAACTGCACAATCCAGTTTCCAATTTCATAGATCAAAAAGTGGGCTAGGATGCCATTTAGAATGAAACCATATAGCAGAGGTCCCCAACCTTTTGGGCACCAGGGACTGGTTCTGTGGAGAGAGGTTTTTCCACTGACGGAGGGAGCAGGGTTTCCAGTACTGCCTGCATCCCCGGGATGGGACTTCGCTTGTCTGTGCAGCCCAGTTTTTGGCATGCCGCGACCCGATGCTGGTCCATGGAATGAAGGTTGGGGACCCCTACCCTATAGCAAAGTAAATAGCAATAGCACTTAAGACTTATAAACCGCTCCATAGCGCTTGATAGCAATTTCTGAGCAGTTTACAGTGTCAGCATATTGCCCCCATCTGCCTCATTTTACTGACCTGGGAAGGATGGAAGGCTGAGTCAACCTTGAGCCCCATCACGATCGAACTCCAAACTATGGGCAGAGTTAGCCTGCAATATTGCATTCTAACCACTGCGCCACCCAACAAACAAACAGAACATTTGCTCTGGAATTTTTCTCTCTCCTGCCTAGAAAAAAATGCTGCGATGAGTTTGGGACATGATGTTGAAAGAGACAGTGGAGTCATACCTAGCAAGAGCCTACCCTACTCCATAAACATGCAAAGATATCTGGGACCTCAACTCATCTAGCATCAGACCCTTTCCAACTTTGCTCCTCAAGTTCTTCTTCATAGCCTGTGGGGCTGAAGCTGAGATCTTGGACATAAATCACTGAAAACCATCCTCACTGGTCTGTGGTAATGTTTCTGAGTCCATCACGCCACCATGTAGGCAAGTCTTACTGCATGGTTGACTTGCTTATAGTGAATCTAAGGTCTCCCTGGCAGAAGAGACAGGAAACTTGCTCATGGAAAGGTCTATGTACCATCATACGGCACCCAGAAAGAAAAGGAGGCCCTATCCTAACTTCCAGATACAGTTGTTTGTTATCTATTTTACCCACTGTTTTAATGCTCATACTTATCACATGCTGTTTTATTTTACTATTTTATTGTAAAATGTTTTGAGATTTTTTTTAAATGGGAAGCAGCACAGAAATATTTTAAAGAAATAATTTTCAACAACATACAAGTAGTGTTTTCTTAATGAATATAAGAGAGCATAGCTCATTATAAATTCACAAGTAATTATTTGGGGGGAGGGGTAGAAACATAATTAATTTTTTATGCCCTCAAAGTACATCCTTTCTCTATACATGCTGGATCACTATTCATACTATTTTTTAACATAACCATTTCTTTTATGTGTTCAAGGATGAGGGGTTTTGCCTTTCTTTCCCCTAGTGCCAATAGTGAATTTCTAAAGGAAAATGGGAATGACAGTCAAAAAATCCTAATCAACTTTTCCCATTCAAAAAAAATTAAGCCCCCAAACCATCCTAAAATAATATTCATTCAAGAAATAATAAAAGGAACTTACAAGGACACGATCCCCAAGTCTGAAGTCTTTATCCCCTTTTTTCACCGATCCGCTGTCTGAGAGGTTGGATCCAGATTCATTTCCAGTCTTCATGGTGTTGTTGAGAACGCTCTCCCGTAGAGGAATGACGCGAGTGGAGAGAGGTGGGGTGGAGGTCCCGGAGTGCAAGGACAAGTTCTGAGCTGTCAGAGACTCCACAGAATGAGCATCGCTTCCTGAACCCTCTGTCGTGGGTTGGCGGGTCAACTTCGAGGGCCTTGTGAAGATCCCCTGGAGAGGCTGACATTCAAAATAACGCACTCCGCCTACAGAACCATCATTCTTCCCAACTGGGTCATCTAGAACAACTCCTGCCCATTGTCCAGGGGCAAACTGGGTCTCTCCCAAATACTGGATTATGCCTGGCTTCACTCCATTCACCCAAACACGTTCACCCATCACAAAGTCCCCCAGGAAATCATCGCCCACCTCGGCAATTTTTGACCCTGGCAGCTTCTCAGAGGCACCTGTGGAAGATGTGGAACCCTGTTTGTGCAGAGGTGATCCTGTAAGAAGAAGCAAAGAGAGAGAGAAATCTGTCAGAACAAACAAAGTCTTCGCAAGAGACAAGACCATGGACTTTGAACACTTATGTTTAAATACAAGCAGCAGAAGAGAAACAAGTAATTATTCCCAAGGATTAAAGGCTAAATGAAAAAAAAATTCTTTGCTTATATGCACTAATCCATGCTGGATTTCATGACCAGATGCTGGAAGAGTTGTTAGGGATCCCATGCAGGAGAATGAGCAAGATGGTCCCTTTGCTGAAGTGGTAAACACATTATTATAAAATCAATTAGTTAAATTACTTCAATGGACCCACTGGAGAAATTACGCCCAGCTTGAAGCATCTGGCTGGCCACCTGAGAAAAAGAATGCTAGACTAGATAAATCTATACTTTTATAAGTAGAGCTTCTCTTATGTTCTAACAGATCAAACTGGTTGGGCCTACTGGAAATTAGCTTAGCAACATCTGATTAGCCCACCCAGTTCAATCATCTACTAAGAGAAGTTCCTTTAGATGAACTGGAGGTTCAGAATTAAGCATCTTAGCATCCAGATGCTGAACTGTGTGTGTTTGATCTCTGTGCAGATTCACAGAATCTACACAGATGGTTCTGTTTTTTTAAAAAAGCAGACTGTTCATTTCCTGAGCCTTCTGAACATTTAATAAACTTGGTCTTCCATTGCTAACTTCAACCCTAGTTTTCCCCAGTTCTATAAAGGAGCTTCAAGGAGTCCGATATGTCCCTCCATTTAAATAAAATAAAAATGCCTGGAAAGCAACAGCAACGTGCATTACTCTCCAAATGGTACCAACTGTCTTTAATGAAGTTTCAGTTCATCAAGTATCAGTGATTTAAAAACACAGCTGCCCTTTTTAAGTTTCAGTTGGCAGCTGGCAGCATGTGGTCAGAAAACACTTTGCCATCTGAAAAGATGAAGGGTTATGGCAGCTTGAATGGCGTTTGTTCACTTTTCTTTTTCCCACTGGTTGCAGAATTTGATACTTAATCTAGTTACAGGCTTGTGCCAAGGCAGCCAGCTGTCAGGAGGAGCAGAAATACAAGAATGCTGCCCTGTTTCCATGGTTATCTGGTAAAAGGAGGGGGGAAACACACACGGAGAGAAGCACAACAAACACTTCCAGACGGTCTCGTGGAAAGCCAAGGGGTATGTGAGCCCTCTGAAGACACAACTCTTATTTCATTTATAGGCACTCATTTTGCAAGTAGTAGAGCCTTCCAGATGTCTCTGAATGCTCAGCGTTGTAATCCCACCACAATTGAGGACACCGGGCTGAGGAAAGTTGATGAGAGGTTGGACATCTGATCTCCTGTATCAATGATAATCGTGATCGTGATGATGATGAAGTCATTTCTCCAGGAAGCATAAAGCAACAGCTGGCTGTCCCGTTATATTTTTACTTTCAAAACAATCTTATGAGCTAGGAGAGAGAAAGAGGGAAGAGAAACTGGCCCAACATCTTGTAGGGAGACTGAAGACTGATTAGCTGTCTAGCTTGAAGCAGCAACTATAAGAGCCCTTGCACGGTGAGGGACACTGTATCTGCAGCCAAAATGAGGATAGTGAAAAATAGGAAGGACCTATCTACTTCCTTGGGGAAATCTTGATGTTTCTGGAAGATCCAAGAAAAAAAGAAGAAAAAATAAATTAAGGGAATAGAATTGTAACAGAAACAGTTAGAGTGCAGAAGTAAAGCAATCAGATGAGGATGGATCAAGTTTCAATACAAAGCAGAATGATAGATGGTCAAGAAAGAGAAAACTCAATAAATACTCCGTGTGTAGCAGGTTAAGTGCCCAGGCTTAGGTAAAACAACTGGTTGATATTCTGACCAAGAGAAAGCTACTACATCTTGCTGCAGAGTGCATAATATTTCATCTGTCATTGACTTTTGTGATTAATATCTGGAAGTGCTCACAATCGGGTAGGCGTCTGGTTTAATTTTAAATTATTGGTATGTGTCTTAGAGGAAAAATGCCAAACTTCATTGATTTGAATGCATGAACTAAATAAAGATGATCCCGCCTCACTCCACCCCGAACATAAATGCTACCAATGTGCATTTGTGGGAAGTACATAAAATTGATGCTATGATTTAATATTAAATAACTTTTCATGTTCAAAGAAGAGCACCAGGAATTGCAAAACGTCCATTAAAGGGCTCTTTTTTTCTGGTGGATTATTTTCTTTAAGTTAAACATCCCAAAGCCGAGTGGAAATCCATGTGTGCAGGCTCGTGCACGTGTAAGAAGCTAAGGAAAAATCTGGCCAGCAGGTACATTATCAGCGCCTGCCTTACAGCAGGCAGCTTTGTGAGAAGGATAACCAGAGGGTTTTAAAGCAGAAGTACATTAATGAGCTGGAGGAAAACAGCAAATACAAAGGAGGGGTGGAGATAAAGGAGGGAGTAGTCTATCAACTGAAAGCTCACCCAGGCACCCTGAAGGATAAAATGCGTGCTTTGAAATCTCCATGCCCATCCATTAAATCCTCTCTGCAGGACCAGTCTCTCAGCTTACAGCTGCACTGTTTATATGGGGAGGGTTTGGCTGAAGAGCAAAAATCTTCCACCGCAGGTACTACCAACCACAGCATGAGTTGTACTTATTCTTAGTCTTTTGTGGAGGGTGGGAGGAAGGTCAATATTGAGCAGAGAGCTTTCTCCAGCATGGTACCAGCCTACTTTCCAGCATGGTTACGGGGTTACTAAGTACAGTATGCCCCTCACCAATACATTTAGACAAAATAAGTGTGTTTGTGTGTTGGGGGAAGAGGCGGGAGAGGAAGAGAGAAGGATAGAACAGTATCTTTACCAGGGATATCCAATCTTGGCAACTTTAAGTCCTGTGGACTTCAACTCCCAGAATTCCCCAGCCAGCCATGCTCACGGTCTTCCACTTTTTAGCCTGGTGCCTTAACCACTAGACCAAACTGTCTCTCTCAATGCTCTTTCTATCCTGTTTTTTCAAAGTCCAATTTTTATTTCTATAAAGTGTCACAGGGAAAAATTGTTGCTTGCACAATTCTGATATCGGTAAGTATTGACCTGGGTGTCTATATTCACTGGGAAATTCTGGGAACTGAAGTCCACAGGTCTTAAAGTTGCCAAGATTGGACACCCTTGGTCTACAAAGATCAGAATCGTGCAAGCAATGGTTTTTCCCTATGATACTTTATAGAAACAAAAATTGGACTTTGAAAAAGCAGGATAGGAAGGGAATTAAGAGAGACAGTTTGGTCTAGCGGTTTTCAGAGGCTAAAAAGCAGAAGACTGTGAGCCATGAAAGCCAAACTGTGTGACTTAGAGCCAGTCATTCTTTCTCTGCCCAACTCACCTCAGAGAGTTGTTGTGGGGAAAATAGGAGGAGGAAGGTGTGTTGGATATGTTCACCATCTTGAGTTATTTGTAAAAACAGTAAAGGTGAGATTCAAAAAAATAAATGCTTTTTGAACTTTGGAGTTGGAGAAGATCCCTCAGAATACCAAGGATAGTCAAGAAAACAACAGATAGATTACTGAACAAATCAATCCAGAGTTCTTACGTGAGGCACAAAAGACTAGAGTCAAATTAATGTATTTGGGATACATTATGTGAAAACCTAGCTCTTTTGAGAAGGGTGGAAAGAAAGAAAAAAGGATGATGGGCAGCAAGGTAGATGGACCTGATTGAAGTGGAAATGGGAGTTCTAAGCAACAGGCTAGGGAGAATCATCCTGAAACCCATCTTTTGTCTCCCAAACTCTAGTGGTTCTCCTGACAGCTCCATAGTCCATTTTATCAAATCTTCCTTCTTCAAGAAGCTTCAGGCTTGAGAGGGCGATCCTCGTAGGCTGGGGAGAAGGGAGAAAGGCTGCAGCACTGATCCCAGTGCTACCCGAGGGAAAGAAGGTAAGCCTTGTTGAAGAGGGGAGACAGCTTCCCTCAGCCTCAAGCCTTTACTGTGAAAAGGAGAGGAACGGAAGCCTCCATTCCTCAAGGAAAGTGAAGAAGTTATTCTTTGGGAAATGGAACAGTCAGGCTGAAAACAGCGCTGATTACAGTGCTGCTCAGAAGACTGAGAAAAATGGAAAATCCACCAATGGGAAATGTACCTGCCTATGAGCCAAACTTGCACGTCTGTCCTGGGCAAGATCAAGTCGAGACTGGGACACCCTAGTCCAGGACAGGCGTTGCAACTTTGGCTGACTTTATCTGATTGGACAGGAACACAGTCTAAACCCATTAGTGGATTCTCCATCTCCGGTGCTGGAGAAGGAGGAAGATTTGATAAAATGGACTATGGAGCTGTCAGGAGAACCACTAGAGTTTGGGAGACAAAAGATGAAAAGAGAAATTGAGAGAGAAGGAAAGTGGAAGCTTCTTAATGAATATAAATGGGCATTATTTACATTGTTTCTTAATTAAAATTAAATGTAGAAAATAATGAATATTTTCTATTCAAATTTAAAAATTTCAAGAAATTAAAAGCTCAGAAATTACAGGTTGGAAACAAAGGTGTTGAGGGTCATATGCAGTCTCAGAGTCTCAGAATGTACACGTTATGTAAATCCAACTAACCAAAGCTTAGTCAACTAACCTGGTTAAATGCATTATATGGCTCTGTCTCTAAATCTATGACGGATCTCCCAATCGCTAAAATATTTTTTTAAATAATGAACATGGACAGATGCCACCAGACCAGAATCTACATAAATCCACAATTCAGGCTGTGACTCAGACTTATGCCAAATAAATATTGCACGAATCATCCAGAAGAATCTAATGAGGTCATCCAGGTTACTGCCAGAATTCTCCACTTGGTGAAACATGCTTTGCTTTCAAACAGCTGGCGAAGGGGCCTAACCTAGCTCTGAAGTCCCAAGGAGGGGTTGGGAAGACATTTTCAGGCCTTTTTCCCCCGGCAGCCATCCAGCCAGATGCCGCCCATTTTTATATTCAATTATTCTTTTGCCGTCTTCTCCTCTTGCATAAAACGTGTTCCCGTTCTGTTCATTTTTTAGACAGTTATCCTGCTAATGGATAAGCAGAGAGACCTGAAACCTTTACATAACTTCTCTCCAACATTCAGTTGGGGTGGTAAGAATAAAAAGAGCTACAAAAATGCCCGGCACATTCGGGGACTCAAAACAAACTAGACAGAAACCGACAGCTGGCAGGCACCCATTTAGACCAAGGCAAAGTAGCCAATAAAAAAAGAGTATTTTTTTTAAACACCAGATACTGTAAAAGAAGCACTGTACATTATACTCAATAAAGGAATGAATTGTTCACGAATCAGTTCACACTCTGAGAATCAACAGTTTTCATTGTACTAAATGTCTGCTAGAAGGCAATTGGTTTCTGGGGTTGGGTAGTTAGAAAGAAAGCTCTCCTTAATTCAAAAATACTGGCATGCTTTTTAAAAAAATTACATTTAATGAGGAAAAAATGTATAATTTTCCCTTTCTCTCCTCTCAGAATCTACAACCTAGCTGAAAAATTCCTTCAGAACAGGCAAATCCCTGTTCATGTTGCTGCATTTTAAAATACAGGTAGTCCTCGACTTACAGCCATGACTGACTCTAAAATTTCTGTTGCTAAATGAGATATTTGTTAAGTGGGTTTCGCCCCATTTTACGACTTTTCTTGCCACAGTTGTTAAGTGAATCGTTGCAGTTGTTAATAACCTAGTTGTTAAGTGAATCTGGCTTCTTCATTGACTTTGCTTGTCAGAAGATCACAAAAGGGGATCACATGACCCCTGGGACACGGCAACTGTCATAAATATGAACCAAGTACCAAGCGTCCTAATTTTGATCATGTTACCGTGAGGATGCTACAACAGTCGTAAGTATGAAAAACGGACATAAGTCGTTTTTTTTCAGTGCCGTTTTACCTTTGAATGGTCACTAAATGAACTGTTGTAAGTCAAGGACCACCTGTACCCAATTTTATAGGATGACCTTAATTTCTAGAACCAACGAAGGAGTTTGGGGATACCGCCAACCTCCAGGGGATACCCCTCCGCTAAAAAAGATGGGCAGTTGGACTGCCCACCTAGAGGTCCTGATGCACTTTTAATGAAACTTCTATAGTACTTCTCATAGCAGTAAATTTTTGAGATCTGTTGTGAGAAAAAAAAAGGGGGGGTCATACCAGAAGACCAAGGCAGTGTTCAGTTGTCGATCTTCGTAGTAAGAGAAGCTTCAACTGGTTCCATCAACACAGGAATTAGCTATCTGGTGGGGTATTAAGATTGCTGAGAGCCAGTTTAGTGTAGTGGTTGATGGAACCAGAGTTCAACTCTGCCTTAGGTACATAGTCAGTGCGATGACCATAGGCTTGTTCTTCTCTCTTAACCTTAGAAAGAAGGCAAAGACTGATTCTCAAAATCTGGCCAAGAAAACTGCATGGACTCCTGGAGGCAGTCGCCAGTAGTCAAGACTGATTTGAAGGGACCAAATAAATTAAGACTGCTAGAGAGAAGGAGATGATCTCACTAGGGAAATCCCTTTCTCATAGAATGTCATTCCCTGCCAGTTCATCAATCATCTCCCTGGGGGCAACTGTCTGCACTACAGACTATACAGGCAGCTGTTGCAGCCATATGCAGCCACAGATTAACCCCCATCTCCCCACTGCTCATGGTAAAGCAAATTAGCTACAACAAGGATATATCTCCCTCCCCCTTCTGTCATCCAGAAATTACAGTTAGGTAATAACTCCTTGATCAAACAAATCAACTCAGAGTTCTCACTTGAAACACAAATGACCAGGCTCAAATTAACCTACTTCGGACACATTATGTGAAGACCCAGAATGCTGGGAAAGGTGGAAGGAAGGAAAAGGAACGGGACGACCAGCATCGAGATATATGGATTCAGAAGCAATAGGTACATTGTTGGAAGACCTGAGAACCAGACTGAGCACTGATCTTTCTGGAGAAAAACGATTTACATACTGCTTACCTTCCTTTGTGGCATTGCTGGTTGTGGAAGCAGTTGCTGCTGTCCCACCAGGACGTCCCACCGGACTGGCATGCTTCCCGGTCCTCCCAGGAATTTTAAGTCCGCTTGGCTTCAACATCTTTGCCCAGGTTGCACCTCAAGGTATGAGAATCCTTTGGTCCTATGATTGGTTGCCCAGTGTCGCAGGTTCAAGCATCTAAGTGATACGCCCCTTCATCTATCTTTAGAGACCTGAAGAAATTGACCAACATCAAAACAGAAAATATATATTTATATAAGTAAACTGTTTCCAGCAACAACAACAAAAAACCCCAAAAAGGAAGCCAAAACACTTCACTTATAAGCTCTTGCTTGAGACTGGATTGAATTATTTGTCCCAAAATAGAGTAAATTATATTAAATTAAGACTATATAAAGAGTGGGGGATTGTCTTATTTCATAATAACCAGCCATAAGTTAGCTACAGATTCTGGATGACACTTCCATTATTTAATCTTCAGCAAAACAAAAGACAAGTTTTTCTAAAAAAGATTTCTCATTCATTCCTGTTATGCTGTTTTTGTAAGCAGATATTCCAAAGTATATTAATCTCCAAATGGACCTCACCTATACTATACAGCAGGGGTCGCCAACCCCCGGTCCGTGGACCAGTACCGGTCCGCAGCATGCCAGCAACCGGTCTGCACAAACAAGCAAAGCCCCATCCACGAGATGCAGGCAACACACAAAACCACATACCCCCTGGTCCACGGAAAAACGTCTCTCCATGGAATCAGTCCCTGGTGCCCAAAAGGTTGGGGACTTCTGCTATACAGTATCTGGAACTTTAAAGCTTGGAAGTGGAACACCTTTAATAATAAAATAAAGTCCTAAAAAAGGCAAACCTTTTTTGAAATTTACTGTGCTTGCTTTATCATTTGATCTGGTCTGTCCAGCTTTCTGTACAAACATGCCGCTAACTGGGAATCCCACCAGGAGTTTTTCTCATGACAAGCCAGCCTATATTCAAATATTTGACTCATGCTTTAATTGCTTCCTGTCTCAGCTACTGCAGTCCCTGCCTTTGTGACATGATGAAATACTTGAGTAACTCCAGATTTTTCTTCTGATTATAGGAAAGTCTTTATTGCTACATTTCCCAAGCTTTGTATAAGGCCATAATTTCTATGTTTTCCTGCCCCTTTTCCAGGGTCCTTGGCCATCACAAAATCTCTCTCTATATATAGAAATATATTTTGATTAAAAAAATTTTAAAAAGGAAGACACAAACTAACACAAACTAATACACAGTAACATATGAAAAAGAAAAGAAAAATAAATCAAAGAGAAAGCCAAAAGTGCAAGAAAGGGGGGGGGGAAGTAAAAGAAAAATCGGAAAGAAAGAAAAAGGATACAAAGAAATGGCTTCTGATCTCTTTTACTGCAGTATAAGATTAGGATAACTTTTATTGTCATTTTCCTGTATACACAATAGCACACATGAAAATGAAATTCCGATGCACTGCTCTCAAAAGAAGGAATGCCACCCATCCAACAATGTCATCATCCCAAGGATAACAATAATCACAACAGCAGCAGCATCAAAAAATGCCAAATTATACAAATACACACACACATGCACACACACAAAGCTACACATAAACACATCACACACACACACACAAAGCTATCACAGAACCCAGTTTCGCTTCGGATACCATGAAACTTCCTCCAAGAGGGCAAGATTGAAAACGGATCATGGAGAGGATGTGTAGAATCCCTGAGAATACTGTGGACCCTGGTCAAGCAATGCTTATATATGGATAGAAGGAAGTGAACTCCAATAATCAACTTACAACAGTTTGTTTAGTGACCGTCCAAAGTTACAATGACACTGCAAAAGGGACATATGACCATTTTCCACACTTACAACCACTGCAGCGTCCCCATGGTCATGTGATCGAAATTCAGATGCTTGGCAACTGACTCATATTTATGACAGTTGCAGTGTCTCGGGGTCATGTGATCCCCTTTTGTGACCTTCCGACAAGCAAAGTCAATAGGGAAGCCAGGTTCACTTAACAATGATGTTACTAACTTAACTGCAGTGATTCACTTAACAACTGTAGCAAGAAAGGTCGTAAAATGGTACAAAACTCATTTAACAAATGTCTCAGCAACAGAAATTTTGGGCTCAATTGTGGTTGTAAGTTGAGGACTACCTGTATTGGTACAATTACATCATCAAAACCATTGTTTTGTTTCATAATTTTAGAATTGTCAGCTGCCCAGAGACATCTGGTTGAGTCAGGCAGCTATAGAACTTGAATTTAAATAAATAAATAAATCATACGTTCATTTTTTTTTCTGTTTCACATAAAAAGTCTGTGAAGGATTTCCAGTCAGCAATACATGTAGATATTGTCTTTTCTCTGATCAAAGAAGTCAATTTAGCCGTCTCAGCAAGTTTGGTTGGCTCAGGAATTCTGGGAGTTGAAGTCCACAGATCATTAAAGGGACATTATTCCCACTCCCACTTTAAAGCTACTGTTCCACAAACTGACCTAGGAGTCAGGAAAATAACGTCCAAAGAATCCAAGTTTAAATAAATAGTAAAAAAAATTAAATTGTAAAATTTTACAAGAAGTTCAGAACCTTATGAGATGTAATTATCTAGTGAGGTTGAAAAATGTAATATAGGTAGTCCTTGATTTATGGAGCCTGCCCACTATGGTTGTAAATTGTGACGGTTGTAAAGCAGGTTATCCACATGACTGACCAAATTTTGCAACCTTTGTTTTGCAGTGGTCGTTAAGTGAACATTGCAGTCATTAAATGAACTGTTTGCTATGAGCCAAAAACCAGAAGTGACTGCTGGTTTTCAACACAAACATAAGATCCAGCTACGTGCCATAAATGTGGGCCAGTTGTTATGCACTCAAAGTGTGGTCATGTAACCATGGGGGGGGGAGACTGGCTGTCAGAACTTCGGAACTGGGTCACAAGTACCTCTGGTGAGATCCATCATAACTTTGAACGGTCGTAAGCAACTGGTCGTAAGTCAAGGACTACCTGCAGTTGTAATGGAAGAGAAGGCACTCATACTATTGCATTTGATCGGTGAATGACTTCATGACTTCCAAAATGTAATGCAAAGGTGCCACAGTTTATGGTTCACAACTAAGTTGGTACATTTCTTCTGCATTTATAAATCAAATACAAATATTACATTTAACAATGTTTAATCGAGTTTAAAATAGTGTTTGCTATCTCTCTTTCCTCCACCCCTTTCTGCTCAGAGACTGAACAATCTGTGTGTGTCACAGCAGCTAAGAAATCAAGCCAGCATATTGATGTAGTTACTAATACGATATTTTCTCCAGTGACAAAAACAGAGGTATGCCTATGTCAGGAAGAAGATATGGCTAAGGTCTTAACTTGCATATTATCATCATCGTTTCTTATTTTCGAATCATGGCATAATGCAAAATCACACCCTAGTTAGTACCTGCCACATGAAAAGGCTGCTGGCCTGCGCCATGTCTCCTACCAATAAAAGCTCCTCAGTGCAAATCATAGAGCTTTGTCCTTAAAAAGAAAAAGGGCAGCTTAAGGAAACAATTAACAAGGAGATATTCCGCCTTCTACGAAATGTATCGCCAGAGATCACTGCCAATAGAAATGTGGGTCTGGCTTGGGGAAGAAGCAGAGCAAGAGCTAACAAACAGCCCGTTCCCTTTACAAAGTTCTGCTTGCTCTTGAGAGGAAAGCTAAAGAAAGCTTGCATGCTTACTTAATGTGGGAGGCTCAGATGCACTGGGATGATATTACTCAACATCTCAAGAACCTCAAAAGAAATGCCCTCCAGGCACTTGCTATTCCTTCTTCCCAGACGTCCCTGCTATCCAGCATGCATACGCTACACGGAATCAGTTGCGCTACATGAAATCAGTTGCGCTACATGAAATCAGTTGTGGGAATCAACCAACTGCAGATCCATTTGGATGCTTGCAAGAACAATCTTTTTTTGGCTCTCTCCTTTTATAAACAGGAAATGGGGATGCAAAAAAAACACTGATGTCAAAGTAGCAGCAACAGGACTTTGGGAACTTAAGCATTTGCATAGACATGTCAAGGAAGAAATTCTAGTTTTTCTTTCCCAACATTTTAAAAAAGAATATTTTAAGCCAGAACAATAAATGCCCTGTAAGAAAGAGAGAGTATAGACCAGTGGTGGCAAACCTATGGCATGCGTGCCAGAGGTGGCACTCAGAGCCCTCTCTGTTAGCACGCGCACCACCGCCAGCAGCAGGTCCATCAGGCTGCGACCGCTGCCTGGAGCAGGAGCCCCACTCAGCACAAAGGAGGCGAAGCAGCAGACTAGCAAGCTCGAGTAGAGGTGGTAGAGCAACAACCATTGTTGATTGGTGGACTGGAAAAAAAGGGAGGGGGAAGCATTTTGCATGTGTGCATGCGCGCACGGGGCCATGAGCACACATACACTGCAAATGGGGTGGGGCTAGTGCCTATGTGATACTCACTAGCCCTGCCCTGTTCTTGCGTGATGCAGTGCCTTGTATCTGCACCCCGTGGTGCAGCAGCAGCCGTTTTTGCACCTTTTTGTGGCCCATTTTTGTGCCCCGGTTTTTGTATGCCAGAGGCGGCACTCAGAGGCGCTTCCCTGCCCCCCCTCCAAGGGCACCACAATGCTGATGCAGCCCTGGCACTTTGCGATAAATAAATGGGTTTTGGGTTGCGGTTTGGGCACTCGGTCTCTAAAAGGTTCGCTCTCACTGGTATAGACCATGCTGACAATTTGAAAAATGGGTTATATACTGTTACAGATTGCTCAGAACAAATTCAAAATCTGCCTCTTTAATACTGACTTCTAGATATTTTCTTTTAAACACAAAGAAAGAGCTCCTCCTTTGCCAATGACTCAGTGCTAAATTCGGCAGGTCTAGACAGGCTTAAATCTTTCTAAAAAGATGTTGATTTTTCTGTTGTTTTCAGTTGTAAATCTTGTGGAATCTACTTTTTTTTTTTTAAAAAAAAGAACTAGATGGAAGAACAAAATTAATTCACAATTTTAAAGCCACTATCACTTGTTATAAAAAAAAAAAAACCCAAACTCCCGTT